GGATCTAGAAAGTTCCAGGCAGGTCTGAGAGGGAAGCCTGTGACTGAGACCCAAAGGGAGTCCCCATGCACCATCGGTTCTAGTCACTGGGAACTCACATCTGTACCAAGTTCTGAGCACCCGCTAGGGTGCTGTACGCTGTGCCAGCTGTCAGGACCAGATGGGGCGGCCCACTCCCTAGTGGAGCCTCATTATCGTTTGGGAATCTAGCAAATCTTGTGATGTGTCTCATACAACTGGCAGAAATCTAATGTGAAACGATCAATAAGGGTATATGGGCATGATGCCAGCTTTCACAGACAATGGTAACTATAATCCCAGTACCTGTGTGCCACACACGGGAGTGTGACCATGTCCTTCAACCCTTCCCAAGACTAGAACTTCGTGTTTGACTCATTACAACACAGGTCTATTTGTTTTTTCCAAGTAGCCCCCCAATAATGGACTTCATCCCCACTGACAGGATGTCATGAAGCCTCATTCAAGATGTAAAGTGGCATCTATTAAACTCGAGTCTGACAAGCATCCAAGCAGAGCCACTGCCTCCGACAAAATGCCATCCTGCAGAGGCCCTAAGACACCCGTGTTCTCACATGTGCACGCGTGCGTCTCACAAGTGCCACCAGCAGGTGGCAGCTGTGATGTGGCTGTCAGAGGAAGGTCAATAAACCCCAAGCATCAGATCCTGCAGAACGGGTACCAGCAGCCTTGAAGAAAATTCTGGAGCCATCAACAGAACATCTTTTCAGAAACTGCATCACCAGCGCTCACCAGGACCCAGGGGACAACGCTGCTTGGAAAACTGCAAGGACAACTCAGAAGTGGTTCACAATGTGAAGTCTTAGCCATGTCTCACAATTTCCTTTTTGTATATGAAGTGTGATGTGATGAAAACCTGTCTAAAATCTTAAAGAATTCTCAATAAATATAAAAAGTCAAAATGATAAGCATTTTCACAGTTCTACTGGCACATTTTTCTTAGCGGTTCACAAAATAAGGTGCTCATAATTGCTGGTTTGAGATTCTGTGAACTAATGTGCACTCCTCCCGGGGCTGGCGCTGGGGTGGAGCCTGGGGGAGTCCGTTTTAAAGTCCACTCACTGGTCACCCAGCAGCCTCCCAGGGAGCCTCTGCTCTGAGCTACTTGCTCAAATCTCAGAACTTAGCACACGTCCTCAGGCCAATTGGGTAATGAAAGAAAATCAGTCTCATTACTTCAATTTTTAAAAAATGAATTTGGGCAACTTTACCAAAAAAATTAGAAGCCTCAATCAGTAAACTGTTTGCATTTTTAATTTCACTTCTGACTTTTTAAAGCTGTAATTAATATGTTCATTTAGTTTGTGTCCTTTTCCCGCCGGCGGTTTCTGTTCCTACGAGCTGCGTCTGCACACTCGGGTTTCTACGGAATCCTGCACAGCTGACCGTCCTCCTGGCCGTTCCCCATCAGACACTTCCACTCCCACTACTGAGATGGACTCTACTTGTTCTTACTACCATGAGACGTTATCCCTAAAGTAGAAAGAGCTTGTATAGCTTATGTAAGACTCAAGACTTACAGAAAATAATTTAGTGACACCAAAAATGCAGAGGTGTATGCCCTAAAGTCTAGATGACAGTGGGATTCGCTGGGATTTTTTCCTAGTTAAAACAATCACCTTTTTTAACCAGAAAACCAGTGTTTCTCAGTTCCATCATGAACCGACAGGGAGCAACAGGGCCCTAGCTCATTTGGATGACACTCATCTGACTGTTTATCCAAACTGTGCCAAGGCCTGCTTGCCTGGCACCCTCCAGACCTCCACCAGCAACCACAACCAGGCAGGACCTCCGCATTTTAATGGGCACTAGTCAAACTGACACCTGATTACAAACTCCCCAGAAGTAAACAAGCTAAATTCCTATTCAGTTTCGCTTGGTGAAGGCTTCAGAACTGACAGGCAACTAACATCACTGCAAACCATAACCCACATGGCACAAACCCACCTGGTGCCCCAACCAGCACTATACGCTTTGCTCTGTTCTCACAGTTGCCTCTTCACATGTGCTATCTTATCAAGGGAGTCTGTTAAACTAAAATTTACTCCAGATTATTGTTTTTCCTTAACATTTAAAAAAAGGCGACTGTAGCCCTAACCGGTTTGGCTCAGTGGGTAGAGCGGTGGCCTGCGGACTCAAGGGTCCCAGGTTTGAGTCTGGTCAAGGGCATGTACCTTAGCTGAGGCCACATCCCCAGTAGGGGGCGTGCAGGAGGCAGCTGATCGATGTTTCTCTCTCATCGATGTTTCTAACTCTTTATCCCTCTACCTTCCTCTCTGTAAAAAATAAAATATATTTTAAAAATAATAAAAAAATAAATAAAAAAGGCGACTGTATTCCCATAGGTCCTATTTTTAGTCATAGGACCAGTTTTCAGATAAGACGCTTTAAGTCATAGGAAGATTTACAAAGATGCCTCCTCCCCTACTCCCATTTTTAAGAATGACTCCAGTAACATCTAAATTTTGAAGGCGAAGCTAGTGTTTCTCAATTTGTTTCAACCTTTGGGGCAAAAGTAGAGAGAAAAATCCTTGAAGTAAATACTGGAAGGAGGAAAGGCTCCTCTAGCATCTTCTAATCGAGGCAAAAAGAAAACTGACTGCTTGGACCCATCCCCTTCCTGGGCTTAGTCCCACCAGCAGCCGGACGGGCTGTTTGTGTTGGCCAGGCAGGACGCTGTGGCTTTAGCACAGTGGTTCTCAACCTTCCTGATGCCGCGACCCTTTAATACAGTTCCTCATGTTGTGGTGACCCCATTTTCATTGTTACAAATTGAACATAATTAAAGCATAGTGATTAATCACAAAAACAATATGTAATTATATATGTGTTTTCCGATGGTCTTAGGCGACCCCTGTGAAAGGGTCGTTCGCCCTCCAAAGGGGTCGCGACCCACAGGTTGAGAACCGCTGCTAGCAAGATGCTCCCTAAAGCTGAGGCTCCACCCCAGGACACCTCCCCGGCCCCAGAGGCACCATTCCCACCTTGGCTCTCAGAGATGTTAATGGCCCTTCTGCAACAGCTGCTGAGAGCAGCACAGTCAATACTCAAGTACAGGATTGGAAGCGGAGGGGGGGTGCATCACATTCCTCCTGCTGCAAAGGCTGTGCCTGCCCCACACATTTCCCAGCATCCACAGCAGCTCATCTCCTGAGGCACAAGACAGAGTCAGGGCAACGCGGCCTCAAGTCTGGAAAAGTGGAGAACAGCAGAAAAAGAGCTCACTTCCAACCTTGGCTTTGCTATGAACTAGCTGTGTGAGTTCAGGCCAGTCACCAACACTCTGGGCCCACCTTCCCTTCTGTAAACAGGTAAGCCATCTCATCTCCTCTCAGGCTGCCTATACCTAACTCTCAGATGCCCAGCTTTGGCTCAGGCCTCAGCAGAGTTGGCTGGGCATAGTTCCTACCACTCTGGGTTGAAAGGCAGTGGAGCACTCACTCCTACTCTCATGCGTTTCAGGAGCAAGGGATGGGACCAGGTGGTGAGAGAACAGTATCTGGAGGCAAGAGGACTCACCACCTGAAGATTCACCCCCTCCAAGCAGGGAGACCACCCGTGGACCCAGCTCAGGGGAGGGATCACTCCTAAAAGTTTCAGCGAGGGCCAGGCAGACCTAGGCATGGGGGGCCCCAGGAAGAGAACCCACTCAGGGGCAGGGGCCTGCTAGGCAATCTTTAGCTAGAAGAGCAGACAGAATGTGGTACCTTTCGTGTGAGCAGCAAAGGTTCTAGCTAAGCATTTAACCAAATCATCCAAACAGCTGAAACTGAGGCCAGGAGAGTCATCCAGCTTCCCCATGGGTCACACGCCGAGGGCAGCTGTTGCTATAAAGCCCAGCAGTGTGCTCCTGCCCTTTCACGCGCCTGGCCCTTGCTCTCCTGGACCTGAAGCAGAGATGACGTCCGGGGATGACACTGGAGCTCTGCAGCCAGGGCCTCCCCTGCCACCACCTGACTGAACTGACAGACCACCGGGATGAGATGATTCCAGGGGTGCTCAGCTAAGAAGGAACCGGGAAATCACTGGGAGCCAGGGACGACGACTCAGGGCTCCAGAACTCATCACTGCTTTCAGCAGAGTAGCTCTGCTCTTTATGTGTTAGATCTGGGGTCCCTGCATTAACAAAGGTCTGGCTAAATGTTTCAGCCTCTGTCTAATCCAATCGCTTCGATGATTGGGAAAGAAGCTGCGAGTTGCCGCCCATCAGAAAGAGGCCGGAAGTTCTCTGTTCCCCTGCTCCACAGCACACCCCCCTGGAAACATCTCTCGGGAGGCAGCTCACAGCAAAACCTCCAGGAACAACTAACAGAATATTCCTGCCCACATATTAGCAGACAGAGGAAGTTTTTAATGTATCCTCCTTAAAGTTCAGTATTCCCTTAGGAACTTGATTCACTTACTTTTCACTTATTTAAAACTACACACTATCCTGGTTTTGCTCTGTTATAAGCGACGTTCAGAACGTGATACATCCGTACTGACTCCTACGTCTGGACATTTCTCAAGTCCGGTCACCGATGTCTTGCAAACGCGGCACCTCCTCCCACTTGCCAGCATCAGCCTGAGGGTAAGGAGAAAAGCCCAGGCCCGAGTCACCTCTACTCCCAGGGCACCACACGCCACGACAGGCAGCACAGGGAAGGGCCAGCGCCTGGCTCCGTCGCAGCTATCCTGTGGCCTGGCGAGTGGCCTCCCTCAAAGTCCGGGTCCTCCCCCCAGGCTTGCATGAGGCGCAGGGCCACCTCAGGCTGCCCCCGGAGACTCGGCTACAAGGACTGGCCTGAGCACACCTGCTCGGGCATCAGACTTCCCCGGAGGCTGCCTGAACTGCCTTTGCCCAATCCACGCTGCTGTCCACCCACGTGTCCCAGGTCGGAGCAGAAGCGACATCTGAACCTGGCTTTGTAACTCCAGCTCTTCTCCCACAGGATGGCGGGAACCCAATAACGCAACCTTGATACTTTTTTGTGTGAAATTTATTGTTTCCACATTAAAAGATTTTTTGGAGGGGAAGTACTTTCTTTTTTTTTTTTTTTTAACCACATGATGATTCTATACAGTTGCCCAGAGTAGGACACCATCATAAGTCATTAACATGCCGTATGAGCTCTTATGAATAAATAAAAGCTACAAAGCCCAAGTTATTTACAAATATCTTGAGCAATAATGTTTACAAACCTATGTACAAAACAACAAATGTAAACAGTCAATGCAGCATGAGAGTAACCAAAGGTGCACAGGGACAACCACTGGGGTCAGTCTGCCCCCAGGAGCTGGCACCAGCCGGCCCCCGGAACCAGGCCGCTCAGTCCTTCCTAACACAACTGGAGAGGCCGCAGAACAAAACCAAAAGCTGTGAAGCTGTCATTTAACTGAGTGACCAGAAAGCTGGTGGGAGGCTGCACCACCTCCACCCCGCCCGCGTCTGAGGCACACGGAGGAGAAGACAGCAGAGGCCCAGCTGTTTGTCCAGGCCCCACAGGCTCCTGCTCTGGGAGGCCAAGCTGTGGAGTGCTAACTGCTGAAGCAAAATCAGAAGGCGCAGTAATGAGACTGGAGAGCTCAGTGGTCCTAGGGTAATGAGACTGTGTTCCCTAATTCAGTGACCTTCCTGACTGTCTGCCAGCAACAGGCCCAGGCTGTGTGGGGTGGAGCTGGGGACAAACACATGATCATGAGCACAAAGGTGCTTGGGTGGGAGCTCAGGAGGGCACACGTTGACCTGATTTGGGAGAGAACGTCTAAAAGATCTGCAATGTCCTAAATACAACTAAATCCTATCAGTACAGCAGGGTGGGGCTATGAGGCAGGTATGATGAATGGGTACTTCTGCATCCAGTGACCAAGTAATACATGTACGTATCACTTTGTGACCCACAAAAGTGCAATCATGTGAAACCAACGGCACTACGGCGAGAAGAGAAAATAGCCAGTATTGATATCGCGCAGTCCTGGGGCTGGGCAGGGCCCAGCAGCCACCACTGCATGCAGCCTGCCCTCTCTCTGCCAGCCCTAGGGAGGCAGACAGAGCCACGGGCTGGGCCCAGGCACCGAAGGGTGAGGCGTGGGTGTCCTGGGCTGTTGGAGGAGGGCGGGAGCCCCCGTTGGGAAGCTGGGCACTCACACACTGAGAGGCAGCATACCTGGTGCAGACGAGGGGCGCGAGGAGCCCAGACCAGGAGGAGGAGGAGCTGGGTCAAAGCCGTTTACTGCCCTGGGGGGTGACAGAGCAGAGGAGAGAAGGGGAAGAAAAAGAGAGACAGTCATTTAAAACCACTTGACACACAGCAACAAATTCATTTTCTCTCTAAAACTACCCCTCTTCCCGGCCCATAGCAGAATCCCGACGGCCCAGGGAAGAGTGGCTGCCTCGAGCATCAGTTGGTTAGACTTGAGAACTCAGTGGTCCTACGGTAATGAGACTATGGGCAGCTTCATCACACTGGCCACTGCAGCCACAACTAAATGATAAAATAGTATACAACCATTAACAATCCATTTCCCCACGCTCTACCAGCATGACTCAGTGGCTGAGTGTCAACCTATGAACCAGGAGATCATGGTTTGATTCCCAGTCAGAGCACATGCCTGGGTTGCAAGTTTGATCCCCAGCATGGGGCATGCAGGAGGTAGCTGATCAATGATTCTCTCTTACCATTGATGTTTCTATCTCTCTCTCTGTCCCTTCCTCTCTGAAATCAATAAAAATATTTTTAAAATCCATTTCCACAGTTCTTTAACAACATGGGAAAATATTCAGAATGTAATTAATGGTGAGTAGAAAAAGGTTACCAAACTATATATGTTCAATGATGTGAAGAAAAAAGAAAAAGTGTAAGTAGAATGTATTCAATCTAGACTATAGCCCCTTAGGGCTATAGATAGGCATTACTACCTGTGTAGCTAGTTCTAGAATGTGTGGAGGTACTCACACAAACACACACACATATATGCACATAAAATCATATATATTATAGAAAGAAAATTTAACAAGTTACTTTTCTTCCCTCTGGGTTATGGGTAAATTTTGTTTACTACTTTATACTTTTTTATTGTTTTCCAAATCTCCTACAATATACATGAATATCTTAATGAAGGGGGAAAGTAACTTTTTTACATTGTTAAGCAGCCAGCTAGGGAGGCTGCTCTGCAGACTGGTTGCTGAGCAACCAGCCCAGCACAGGAGTCTACAAAGAGGGCCGCGCACCTGAGCCCAGGGATGCAGAGCGCCCACCTCAGCCCACCCATCTGGCAGCACAGCCGCCCCGCGGGAAGCAGTGAGGGGTGAGTACGAGGCCTGGAACCTCTCAGGAAGCCACTTCAGCCTCTCCATCCTGGAAAACTTCCTAGGAAAGTGTCCCACTAGCAATTTGGGAAATACAGCGAATTGCAAAAGGCCGCACTCACCACACTTGCCCACCACTGCCCCCCGCCATCCACTCATCAGAGGGGTCTAGGGAGTTGAGTATAGACTCATTCTTACAAAAAATGCACACACATTCCCCATAAAGATAAGTGCTACATACACTGAAGAGGTGAGTGTAATCTCAGAGAAACAGGCATGCAAAAGAGATTTGACAAATGACTCTGCGCTACCCTGAAGAAACAGTTAATGCCTGAAGAAATAACCTCAGAGTCCAGATTTCAAGTTTGAAGTCAAGCTACCCACACAGAGCCACAGGGCTCTACATGTCATTTCTCCCTGCTGTACACCCGTGTTCTGTTTAGGGCTAGGGGAGGCCTGATATTTGAGCCTCGTTGTATGTGAAAACTTGAAATCATCCCTCCTACTCTCCCAAGGCTATCCGCCTGTGCCTGCTCCGGGGGCAGGGGCCCCATCCTATTTGCCACTGCAGCCCTCACGTAATAAGCCCAGCTGTCACTTGTCTGACTAGTCCCAGAGCCACCAATGCCCGCTTCTCCTCAAAGCCCAAGGAGAACCAGGCAGGCCTCACAAACCTCAGGTGAACACCACATTCTGCAGGCTGTACTACAGACACCCCCAAAACCAGCAGAAAGGGAGCACTGTGGGTGCCAGGAAGAACCTGGCACCTGCTCCACAGGGGTGTGCACAAACAGTGACCACAAGGACGGCTCCACGTGCAGGCTTAGGACTGAGATTTGGCATTTTCAAATTAGACAGATCTTTAAAGAACATAAAGTCCATCCCCATTGTTGTAATGCTCAAAAAACCAAAGCAGAAGGTCCAGCCATTCACCTGAGTTCACCTACGAGCCCATCAATGGGGAAGCAGGGCTCATAACTTGCCTCCAGATGTCCAGGCCATTCTCCTTTCCCAGCATCCTCCTGGCCAGAGGAGACCTGACAGCCCTCAGTGAGCAACCACTTTGGTGCTCCCAACCCAAGTCAGCTATAGTGGGAAAAATAAGCAGTGCGATCAGAATACAAAGGGACAAGAAACTAGGTGAGTCGTTCTCAGTATGAATGGGAATGGAAATTCTGATTTGCAAGTTGGACAGAATAGAGAGAGAATAACAAGGGCCTCACCGAGCACTTCTTTCCTGAGCCAAGAAGTGGGATGCAGAAGACCAGAGGGAGAGAGTTGACCCTAGAGGTAGGATTGTGTCTGGTGAGGCACCTTCAGGAAACTGCAATGCTGTGAAATGGGGAAAGAAACCTCCGTATTCACATTTGGTTTCAGGAAGCAGCAAAAGAGCTGAAAGGAAATGTCCCAGTGGACACCACAGAAATGAACGGAAAGAGAGCAGGCAGGGGTGGGGACACAGATTTGGGGAATTATCTATGTGAACAGGTTACAGAAGCTATGAAATCTCATGGCCTTACCACCAAAATTTAGTTAAAGAGTCTGAAAAATAGAGACCCCAGCTGAGAAAAGAAACTAAGGTGAGTTATAAAACGACAACAGAAGTGAAAAGGGCACCTTTATAAGCTAGTCAGGAGGACAATAAATAGAACACAACAGTGATGACGTATGGACACAGAGCAGCAAGTGGAGGGCACCTGAGAGGGCGGTAGAGAAAGGCCTGAGAGTGGGCCAGCGCTCATGCAGGAGGCGGCAGACACACTCCAGACCCGTCTTCCTAGTTAGATGGCCCCTGGGAGTCGCGCAGCTCAGCCAGCTCGCGACCTTGCCCCAGGCCCTACAAACTGAAACGTGCCTTCCGGAAAACTGAGAAGAAAGGCAGATCTTATACACGCCTCCATCAATCATTCCAATGTGCTCTGAGAAACAAGAGTGAGTGCAGAGGGGAGAGTCGCCCCAGCAAGGCTCCGTAATCATTACTGCCTGCTTTGGAAAAACAAGACACACTGGTAACAGGAAGAACCCAGTCCCACAGAGACATTCAAATATGGTCCCAGGACCTGCCAGGTACCCGTGCACCTGACCACACAGCGAGTGCCTGCTATTCACAACTGCCCAGCACCACTACAACTCTTCAGTTTGGTTTTGCACAGCTGAACCAATAATGGTATACAGTTGAGTCAAACAGGAATTTGAAGGCTCACTTATGGGCTGTAAGTGGGTTAAAGCAGAGTCAGCCCCATGCAGTTAGTGAAAACAGTTTGTTAATGGGTCTCCCACCACACATCATGATTGAAAAAGAATAAAAAATAGCACAGCAAACAAATTCAATTACCCATGAACAACGTGGGAAATATGACTTTTTCTTGCCTAATAAAAAAAAGGAAAAAACATTAAACAGTAATGCAAATACTATTTTCATACCGTGCCCTAAAATTAGTGTATGCCCACCTACCTACACATAGCCCAAAAGAAATCTGACTGGCTTACAAAATTAGGGTAAGTGATACATAGAAAACTAAATAAATGCTATGAAGAAAAAAAGAATATTTTTGAGATAATATAAATGACTATACTACACAGAATTTGTATCTTTTCAGATGAGTGATATTAAGGGCTCCTAGTGGTTGGAAGAAGCAGAGCAACACCTGGGAAGCAGGTCCAGCGAGCCATATTTTAGGAACTTGCAGAGGTGATCACAGACTAGATAAAAATCCTGATTCCAAGAGGCCCTCAAATAACCAGAACTTACAGAATATTTTCAAGTCCTATAAAGTAAACGTAATAATACGGTACACTGTTTTATGTAGCAAGGCCTCACTGCGCCTGACACACGTGCACACTCACACACAAACTGGCCTTGATTAACCTCCCAAACAATGCTCCTCCAGGACCCTAGGAGGCCGGTAAAGCTGGTGCCAGTGCTCCAGACACTGCCCAGGAGCGAGAGGTAGAGCAGGCACATTCTAGAGCCCAGACTTCAAAATGAAGAGCTTTTCTCACACTGAAACTGCAAGCTGCAGTCTGTAAGAACTGGCATTTCTTCTTTTAACCTGACATTTAATCATGGAGCAGAGAGTTAGGATACTTCCCCAATTCCTCTCGCAGCTGGGAAATACCATCCTGGTTTTTAATCTAGCCAACTAGAGGCCCGGTGCAGAAAACTTGTGCACGGGGGGGAGGGGGGTCCCCTCAGCCCAGCCTGCACCCTCACCAATCCAGGACCCCTTGGGGGATGTCCGACTGCCAGTTTAAACCGGCAGTTGAACATCCCTCTCACAATCCCGGACCACTGGTTCCTAATCGCTCACCTGCCTGCCCAGTCGCCCCTAACTGCCCCCCCCACCCCGCCCCACGGCCAGCCTGATCACCCCTCACTGCCTCTGCATGCCAACCTGATCACCCCTAACTTACCCCCCTGCCGGCCTGGTTGCTCCTAACTTCTCTCCCCACCCCCCGCCAACCTGGTCACCCCTTACTGCCCCCGTGCTGCAGGCCAGGTCACCCCCAACTGCCTCCCCTGCTGACCTAGTTGCCCCTCATGGCTCCCCCCGCAGCCTGGTCACCTCATGCAGCCTACTGTTCAGTCATTTGGTCGTCCCTCACTAAACCGCCTGCCGGCCTGGTCACCCCCAACTGCCCCCCCCACTGGCCTAGTCGCCCCTCACTGCCCCCCTGCCAGCCTAATCACCCCTAACAGCCCCCCGTGCTGGCCTAGTCACCCCAAGTGCACCCCACACTGGCCTGGTCACCCCTAACTGCCCCCCCTGCCAGCCTAGTTGCCCCAACTGCCCCCCCTGCCAGCCTAGTCATCCCCAACTGCCACCCCCCCTGCCGGCCTGGTCGCCCCATGCAGCCTGCTGTTCAGTCATTTGGTCGTCCCTCACTAATCCCCCTGCCGGCCTGGTCGTAGGCAGCCATCTTGTGAGGGCGTGAGGGTTAATTTGCATATTACCTCTTTGTTACATGGGATAGATCTGCAGGAAGAAAGGCCAGAGGTAAAAAGCCAGGTGGGTCAGAAGGAAGCCAGAATCAAAGTAAAGCAGCAAGGAAGTAAGAACACAGCAAAACCCCACAAAAGAGAGCTATAGGAATATGGCAACTAGACAAATGCAACTCAAGCAATAGGTTAATATTTGAGTGTGTATAAGCAACCTATTTGTCATATAAACTAAACACTTGAGGAAAGACCAACCCACAAAAGCATACTGAATTCTTAATAGAAATAATAGTTAAAAATGTGTCCTATTTAAACCAAAACTAAATATCCTCTGCAACTTTCTATGGAGCGGTACACTTCCAGGTGCAGCGCAGGAATAAAGCCTGCTCTGCGTCCAGGATGCCTCTCAGAGGGCGGAGGTGGGGCTCCGCACAGTGCCCAGGGCCCACGCCTGGTTCCAGGTCACCTGAAGCCTCTGCATCTACCTAAGAATGGGTTCACCTCCGGGCAACCACTGTGCTCTGCATCAGGGGTCAAATGGATGCCAGTCTCTAACGAAGACCGGAGCAGCGAGCCTGAACTGACTGTTATTCCTCCTTCGTCATGACTGTTCTAAGGACTGTCTACATGCAAAGCTATTTGTCCAACCAGCGTGTTTCTGGTCCATGCCTATTCTCACGCCATAAGGTGCCCAAGGAAAGAAACATGATTCCAGGTAGAGACTAATAACTACTCTACCGGAGGTAATTACAGGTTACAGAAAAAAAATAATTAGGCACCCCTAAACTATCCCTATACTGTTTAAGGCAAATGGCAATTTAATGTCAAATACTTATTTATTCCACTTATCATTACTGTATAAAAATGAGCATTCCTCAAGGTTGCCTGAAACTCCTAAACCTGAGGAAAATTAATTTTACACTTACTCCCACTGAGGAATCCCAATGATTAAAATAAAGTTCTGATTTATATATTGGTATTTTAGAATGGTCTCCTTAAATATGTATACATGAAGGTAGAATCTCTCAGGCCCTCCAGAAAAATGCCACAGTTACATAGGAACATACAAGCTCCTTTAAGAAATTGGGAAAATTTCTAGAGTTGTATCTGTGTTGCTGTCACAGGACAAGAATGAGCAGCCTCTACGACTCAAAGCAGAGACAGTGCCAAGGGACGGCGCTGCCTCAGTCGTTGTTCTAATAACAGCTACCTTGGGTAACGTGGTCAGCACCCCCAGACCACAAGTCTTAACTATTTAACTAGTTCCCTAAATTAAGGCACACCCATAAAAGAGTATAACCATGCAATGTTTTTGTTTTTTAAATTGAGGTAGAGTAGTATGTACTGACATGAAAAGATACTGGCAATATAAATCAGATAGGCATGTTAAAGAATATCTGAAGTATAATTTCATAAATCTTAAAAGCTTATAGAAGATACATATGATTGTACATGACTAGAAATAACTGTAAGAATGTAAAAATAGTGTGAAAATAAAAAACATTTACTTTTTATTTTATGTACTTCTGCACCAATTGAAATTTTTTTGCATTTAAGATATATCACACCCTAGCTGGTTTGGCTCAGTGGATAGAGCGTCGCCTGCGTATTAAAGGGTCCTGGGTTTGATTCCAATCAAGGGCACATGCCCAGTTGCAGACTTGATCCCCAGTGGGGGGCATGCAGGAGGCAGCCAATCAATGATTCTCTCTCATCATTGATGTTTCTCTCTCTCCTTCCCTCTCCCTTCCTCTCTGAAATTAAAAAAAAAGGATGTATCATGACTTCAATCCTAACACAATTTTTTTAATTTCTCAATTCCCTAAAAACCATCTTCACATCATACAAAATTTGTATCTCCTAAACTATATTTGATCCAGTGGTTTTATATTTTTCTAAAATCTTCAGGCAGAACGTTCGTTACAGAGTTTGCATGTATACATAACTAGCGTTCTCTTCTACCCTTAACAAACACTGGGGTGGGGGGTGTGCAAAAGTAGGTTTACAGTTGTGAATATGCAAAACCGTTTGTTCTTATTATTATTATTGTCTATACAAACAACTGTAAACCTACTTTTGCCCCATTCTATACTTGCCAGAAAAGTCTATGAGCCTGTAAGTGCCTTGAGAACAAGGACTATATCACGGGCAGAGCCTAGCACGGCTGCCTTCCAGAGTCTGCTTCCAGGACAGATGCTCAGAGTCGGGGTTCCCAGGGCAACAGACTCCATGGGGACAGAAGACAGCAACAGATTTCATGTCCTGTGAGATCTGAATGGTAACAGGCTTCAGGTAGATTTATCAAACTGAGTTTATCTTTTCAAAGCTTCAGTAAGCTCACTTAATAACGTGTAACTTTAATACTTGAAATTATTTAAAACTTCCAAAACTTACCCTTTGTCGAAGAAAGACGTATGCCCTGATCTAGAGAACTTTGTGCCGTTGCTATTCATCACCCCGCAGTTAACATTCCCTGAAATATAGGATTTTCGTGATGCTTGGTCCTTTGCAAAATTCCTGCAAGCTGCTAATTTGGATTCTAAAGCCTACAAAAGAAAGAAGGAATGATTTGGTTGTCAAAACGGTAGCTGCACATAAAAATCTGCATTTCAAACCATTTCTATTTTGAGACTCAAACTTTACTCTCTCCGTGGATACTGGTGGCTACTTAAGCCAGAATCAATCACCTTTCTGGCAGACAAAGGAAATGTTCATGCTGACTCCCTTTCTAATGAGCTCAGAACATTTTACTTATCCCTCTCACTGTTCCGAGGGATACAAATATCCTCACTCACATAAGAAAAATGTGGCACAAGCAAACCAAGACAGGCCCAGGTCTCTTGACCCCATCCATTATGTCTTTCTGAGTTTTGTTAGTTGGCTAGTTAGAGGTGGATGAGTATGGAGGAGGGCTCTTTTGGGAGCAAATGCATAAAGAATGCAAAAATATCATGAGAATTTTTTAAAGCAGCCAATTATTTCTACAGCATTTCAGTTTAGTTATTTCTAATGCATTAAAATGGGTAAGAGCATTTACAACACTTCACATGACGTTAAAGACTATTCCTACTTCTTAGAACACAGTGTAAATGTCTGATGCCCTTTTTCTATAATTAAATAATTCACCGGAAAATGACACCAGACCTTTAGAGCATTTACCTCTAAATCGGGTGCCTTTCTTGGCACCTGGCACTTGCCAGGCTCTACAAACAGACGACATGAAGAGAACAGGACTTCCTCATCTATTTCCATCACACACAGATATCACCAACTCCCCCTTCCCCATAGACACTCTGACCAACTCAAACCCCTCTCCCTGACAAAAAAAAAACAAAACAAACAAAAAAACACAAAGGAGGAGGGCAAAACACAGTCCATTCCTATTATCCATGACACTAAGGAATTAGGAATGCATAAGTAAATTAAATCCACAGGTAACATATGCACTTTAAAAATCCTCCCCCATAATTTCAATATAAGCTGTTAAGAAACAGAAATGAAAACAAACGTCTTCTATCCTCCTTTCCTATAACAAAAGTACAATGACGCATAAAATAAGAATAAACAGAAGAGAGGTAGTGACCTTGTAGAATAAGCTTTACATAAGCATTATTTCAGCAACTTGTTAATGTACACATACACAGTAAAAACGGAGAGCCACTAAGCTCCTATGTTCAAGACACTCATTCATTCCTTCAAATACGGTAATGTGCTAAGCACCTATCATACAGCTGGCACAAGTTGTATCTGAGATGTCAGGGAGACATCCAAGTGCAAGTACTGGGGTCTGGCACTCGAGTGAATAAAGTGGTTTAGATACCAAGATTTAGAAGATATATATACCAAGAAGTAGACAAAATCATAGTTGTGAATAAGATGAGGAAATTAAGGACAGAGCTCTGAATAAAATCAACAATGAAAGGGTGGGCAGATTAAGACCTAACAAATGACAAAGAGGAATGGGCAGGAAGACAGGAAGCAGACATGACACTGCATCAGAGGAGCAGAGGAAAGAAGGCATTCAAAAAAAAAAAGTGGTTTTGAATGTTTCAAGTAAAATCAGGACAAAACAGCATCCATTCTAGCTGACAGCACTGAGATCATCAAGGAGCAATTATAGTGGAGTGAGCAGCGACAGAGACAAAACAAGGACGTCTGGGGAAGTGTGTACTAATATACAGTCAAAAACGCTAACAATAGCCCCAGCCAGTTTTGCTCATGATTAGAGCACTGGCCCTCGGACTAAAGGGGCGCAGGTTCGATTCCAGTCAAGGGCACATACCTCGGTTGCAAGCTCAATCCCCACCCAGGGTCGGCGTGCCGGAGGCAACCAATCAATGTGTCTCTCTCGTATTGTTTCTCTCTGTGTCTCCCCCTCCCTTCCACTCTCTCTAAAAATCAATGGAAAAAAATATCCTCGGGTGAGGATTAACAAAAAACAAAACAAATAAAAAATGCTAACAATAAATGGAGACATGCTTTCAAAAAGCTTGGCTGTAAAAGAAGAATTAGAATAATGGCTAAAGAGAGAGATAGGGTAAAAGAAAGAATAGTTGCTTTTATTTTTGCTTTCTAAGATTAAAAAAAGTATGTATATATTATCTAATATTACACATACATATTAACATATATAGAGTAAAAAGCTGAAGATACAGGAGACATAAAGATGACAAGGCTAGAAGGAATGGGATCCAAAGCATACAGGGACAAAATTAGCCAGGAGCACAAATATGACACTTTTACCACTGAAATAAAAAGGAAGAAGAGCTACAAACAGAGGTAACAGAATAATAAAAGAAAAGGAGAAAACAAAATTTCAAGTCAGATGGCCTTGATTTCTCAGTGGAAGAGGATGCAAGCGTGGGGATGCGGCTTCCGAGTAGTTCTAGTCAGTGGACAAAAGAATATTCATAGAAGCACGCCAGGAGCTGGCGGATAAGCAGACCAAAGTTTTATGACATCTTGGGAGACTGGTAAACAGGAAAACCATGCAAGGACTCCAAGTTCAACTTTAATGCACCATTTCTGAATAATTTATTTATGGTACTAAAACAAAATAAACAAGAACAAAGAAAGATGACAACTTGGGGTCCAGAAATAGACAGTGCTGATCCAATAGCATATAATGAAGAGAAATTCAAGGACGACGGTGGTGCAGCAGCCCTATAAGCGTATCAGAGCTTTCAGCAAAGAGTGAGGGTAAGAAGCTGGAAGGTATGAGATATTGCAAAGAGTGCATTTTTTTCTATCTATAAAAATAAAGGGTAATTTGGAAGACCAGAAAAAAAGAAAAAGGCATACAGGTGAGCTCTCACACGATACAAAAAAATCTATATGATTCTGAGTAAGTGATAAAGAACAAAATGCTTGAACCATCTGTTGAACAATATGAATAAAATGACCCAAGAGCCAGCTGTCCTCTATGATTATACAGTAGCACACATGGGCATGATACTATAGATACTACTGACTTATTTTCAATCTTCAGAACTAACCAATGGAGAGTAAAAGAAGGTACAAAGAGACACAGACACACACAGACACACACACACACACACAATAAGGAGTTGCAATATAATCTAATAAATTCAGAAACAGAGGTTTTATATTTAAAATTACAAAAAACACTAACAACAAAAAATAAAAATTGCGAGAATGTGAGTTAAAATCCTCATCTTTTTGCTTAAAATTGGTTAGTCAAGATACAGAAAAATAAAACATTATTTTATCGAGTTACAGAGGTAAATACCATAACTCTTACAACAAATTGGATAAAAATGATTATCTTAAAAGTAAGGAAAAACTATGTACTGCATGAATGACTTAAGCACATTACTATTTATAGCAACTTTAAATTGCAGTTTAGAGTGAATCTGATGGTTAAAATAATTCCATAAGCTAGAAAAGGTAAACATAGGACCCTGTATCTTGGCCTCCCATTTCTTCTTCAAAGAAAGTATAATGCAACTTCTACTTTTTTCAGAAAGTGTCTTACACACAAAAAATAAGTAAAGGCATGGTGGATAGTGGGAAGTTTCAGGGGTAGATTACTGAAAAGAGAGGTTCAAGTCACTGAGGGAAATAAGAAAAGCTTAAATCCACACAATCATATTATTGTTTCCAGTGACCTGAATGAAGGAAAGAAGTCACATTTCTTGATTGATCCAGACTGCAGGTCTCCTCCATGGCCAAAAACACCATGCTCAACGGTAACAGAGGAAACCATCTGTGGGATCGCATATGAACAGGAACAAAGTTAAAGCAAGAGAGTGCTGAAAAACACACACCAGAGTACTACTCTCTTGATAAGGTCCAAGAGTATTATCCAGAGTAAAAAAAAACTGAATAAGCGCCTGGCCTGTATGGCTCAGTGGTTGAGCATCAACCTATGAACCAGGAGGTCACAGTTCAAGTCCCAGTCAGGGCACATGCCCCAGTGTGGGGCATGCAGGAGGCAGCCGATCAATGTTTCGCTCTCACATTGATGTTTCCCCATCCTACCTCTTTAAAAATCAATTTTTAAAAAGCTTAATTTAAAAAAAAAAGGACATACAGCAGGAAGTATTTAGGAAAAAGTGGAGGACTCACTGTCCTTTAGAAACGGGCCTGGGGAACATGCAGAGTTCTCAGTGGAAGCTTAGGAGGTCAGCGCGCTGGGCCTCCTACAGAGACACCAGCCAGCCCCGCCCTGGAGGTGAGTATCTGGACCAGCCTCAGCTGACCACCGGATGCTTCTGCTTCTCAGTTTAATTACCACAGGGAGGTATCCTTTTTTCTTCCCTGACTTCACATTCAGAAATAATTCAATACCTTTGCAATCGAAACACCTAGTGATAAATAATTGAATACTTACCCCTACTTTCCGTAAGAGATCCCCCACAATGTTTAGTGCTGATATCCTAGCTGAAGGAGTCAGTGGACTGGTACCAAAACCGTTTGGTATAGCTACAGAAAAATAAAACACAAGTGTTTATACATGCAATTTGGGTTTTGTTGCTATTGCAAAATAGTATACATTCAATGTAAAAAAATCAATATATATTCCAAACTACAGATAAAGTGGAGATTCCATAAACATGTTTAACAGTTCTACAACTGATGAGTATTTAGATTACATCCGATTTTACATCACTACAAATAATGCTAAAAGGACGTATAGCCTTAAAACATCCAGATGAGTATTTCTGAAGAAGAGATTCCTAAAAATAGAACTGCTGGGTCAGAGGATATGCTATGCCCATTTCTTTCACCTTAACTGGTACTGACTGCCAAAATGCTCACCAAGAAGATTATGTCAATATCAGCAATGTGTACGGTGGTGTCGTCAATAATATTAGACATCTTTTTATGCCAATTTGATAGTCATTTTGTTTTAATTTTTATTTCCTTAATACCTAATCATTTGAATCTCTTCCGGAAATTATCTGCCTATCCTTTGCATTTTTTTCCTACTAGACTGTCTTTCCTTTAACCAATTTGCAAGGGAACAATAATTATATTCACCCTTTCTCTTTTATGTTGTATTTCTCAAAGTGACATTTATCTTTTTTTTAAATATATTTTTATTAATTTCAGAGAGGAAGGGAGAAGGAGAGAGAGATAGAAACATCAATGATGAGAGAGAATCATCGATCAGCTGCCTCCTGCACGCCCCACACTGGGGATCGTTCCCGCAACTCAGGCACGTGCCCCTGACCAGTATCGAACCTGGGACCCTTCAGTCTTCACTCCAACACTCTATCCACTGAGCCAACCGGCCAGGGCTGACATTTATCTTTTAAGCTTTATGTTTTGGGGAGGAAGCCTTTGGCTCCCTCACCTCAATATTATAAAAAATGTTCCCCATATTTTCTCCTAATTGCTTTCCTAAAAAATTTTTTGCCCTTAGATCACTTATCAAATATTTAGATATTTCCCCTCCAAATGGATAGCCAATTAGTGAAAAAGTACTAAAATAGTTTTTTAGCACTTGAAATAGTACTAAAACCATATACTGAAATCCCTATATATTTCAAGCTCCATTAAATGATTAGTCCACTCTGCCAGAAAGATGCTGCTTCGGTTATTATAGTATTAAAATAAATTTTGGTATCTTGAAGGGCAAAGCCTCTTCTTGTTAGTAAACTATTTCAAACTTTTCTTGGCTATTCTTTTTTTAAAAAATATATTTTTATTGATTTCAGAGAAGAAGGGAGAGGAAGAGAGTGATAGAAACATCAATGATGAGAGAGAATCATCGATCAGCTGCCTTCTGCAGGCCCCACACTGGGGACTGAGCCCGCAACCCAGGCATATGTCCCACCGGGAATCGAACCATGACCTCCAGACTCATAGGTCCAGGCTCAACTATTGAGCCACGTCGGCTGGGCTCTTGGCTAGTCTTACACATTTACTCTTCAAGAGTAACTTTAAAATCAACTTGACAACTTAAAAAAAATCCCAAGACTCTTACTAAAAATTTAAATTATTGATTGATTTAGGGAGAATAGATATTACAACAAAATTAAGTCTTTCCATTCAGAATCATAGTATTGAGCATGCTATTCATGCTCTTCTTCCATGCCCTTCAGCAAAGATTTCCAATTATGCATCTTTCTCCAATTTATTTTTGACATAAATAGTATAATGGTTAAGAGCTCTTGAGTGGAACTGCTAGATACAATTCCATCTCGTCATTTGATACCTGTGTGACCTTGAGTTAAGTTACCCATATGCAAATGAAGCTAATAATTAACTTACCTCATAAAGTTGTTGTGAAGTTTAAACTAGTTAACATGCTTTTAAAATGCCTAGCACAGTATTTAATAAATGTTAACTATTATTTTTTGTTTTCTAGAGTGCTGATCAGCCTGTAAAATGCTTTTGCAGCTGCGGCTGTTGTTTACCATTCTGTCCTTTAGAATGTAATCTCACTGACAGTAGGGACTTGTCTTATTCACCACTATACTCCCAGAATCTAGAATGTGTGGCACATAATAGGTGCTCAATTGATATAAATAAACTACTAGACTTTCCTTGGCAGGGATTTCTGAATCTCAGCTTTCCCTATTCTCCTCAAATTTTGTACTTTAGGTATTATATCTGTGCTTTAATGATAAACTGTATTAAGTGCTTTTGGGAAACGGGCATTGTATCAATGCAATGCAATTAAAAACAGACCATTTCAGCCCCTAGCTGGTTTTGCTCAGTGAATAGAGCATAGGCCTGCAGACTGAAGAGTCCTGGGTTTGAATCTGGTCAAGGGCACATGCCCAGGCCGTGGGCTCAATCCCCAGTAGGGGTGTGCAGGAGGCAGCAGATCAATGGTTCTCTCTCATAACTGATGTTTCTATCGCTCTTTCCCTTCCTCTCTGAAATCAATAAAAATATTTTTTTAAAAGACCATTTCACAGAGATGTCCTTCAACCCTGTCACTGATTTATCTAACCTCCTGCTTCTACTAGTATGTCTGTGCTGATCTCCTTGTCACAAAACTGCCATGATCCAGTATACAGCAGCTTTTAGGTGAGTTTACACTGTCAGTTCCAGTCTAAAAGTGTGTCTATTTGGACAAGATTACAGCCTTTGGGTTGACCTATCTTAATTCTGTGCCAGAGTAAGCTCTATGTCCTACTGTCACTCCCCTACCCCAAGTTCTCACATGAAAAATCTAATGAGCTGTAAAAGAATGTACACCTCCCTCTGGGTGTTACCTTGATTTCAGCTCCTGATTATTCTAATTAGTACTCAAATAAAAAGTTTTCAGAATTCATCTGCATAATTCTAATGAGTAAAAGCAAACCTTTGTTAATTTTCAAATGTCAGTAATTCTGAGGGCCTCAAATACACAAGCACCATTCTGAAAAATGAACAGTGAAAGCTTTTGAGGACTGCTACAACCTATATACTACTGGGTCTATGCCCTCAGAAAGACAACACATACTAGTACAATTAGTAACACCTTTTGACTATTCAGCATTTTCACATACCCTATCTAATTTCAACTCAAGAACAGGTGAATTATCTATTCAAGGGCTACTGAGCACTTGGAATGTGACTTATGCAACCAAAAACTGATTTTTAAATTTTAATTCCTATTAAATTAGTAAAAACTTAAATTTAGTCACATGTGGCTAGTGGCTACTGTATTGGACAGCACAGATATAGAGAGCTTACTACACTAATTGCCCAGACAGAAAATCTTATATCACTATGAAAGATATAATCCTGTATTTAAAAAAGGGGTAGGAAGATCCTTCCATAGGGGAGTAGGAGTAGCTGAAATATGATCTGCAAGCTGCAAAAAACTAAATCTGAACTGAGAGCATCAGGGTTCTATTTTAGTGGCTACTAAATGTCTTTTCTACTTATCAGGATTAAAAAACACATTGGCTGATGGCAAAAGGAATATTCTCTATGCACTACTCAACAGTTCCTCTGTTGACATTCAGCATTCAGCTACAGAGGCATGTAATAGACTGGACGTGCCTATCCAAGCCATTGGTACTCGAGTCTGGTAACTTGAGTCTCTATATATCCCATGTACAATTCTCAAATGTTAGCATAAAGGCTTCTAGTCTACCCACGATATGTTAAGTGGCAAAAGCAAGAAATAAAACTAGACTTAAATATGATCCCCAAAGAATGTGTGTAATGAGGTAGGCACAAACACAAATAAGCATACACAAAATAAGAAAAAATCAAAATGTTAAGAGTAGTTAACTTTAAACGGTAAGATTACAGATGGTTTTTCTTTTTTCTTTTCTGTTTTTAAAATCTTCTGCATGAACATATATTACTGCTACAATAAAAAAATAAACTTCCTTTAAAAACTTTCCAACTTTTCAAAATCTCAATTTATTAAGTGGCTTTTGTCTTAAACCTAGCCAGCATTCTCATTGTTTCCTATGGCTGAGTGGCTTAGGAAAATAATTCCTTCTTCTTCACACAGATTTAACCAACTTTTAAACTGAAATTTTGCTTAAACTTTAGCAACTACTGCTTCATCAGCAAATCCTCTAAGTTGATAATCTACCATAGTTTTAAAAAGCAGACCTAGCCCATGTGGCTCAATGGTATGAGCATCGTACTCACATCTAAGGGTTGCAGGTTCGATTCCCGGTCAAGGAGATATACCTGAGTAGCAGGTTCAATCCCTGGCCCCAAGTTGAGCCTAGCGGGAGGCAACCAATGAGAGGCAACCAAACGATGTCTCTCATCTCCCTCCCTCCCCCTTCCCTTCCACTCTCTCTAAAAAATTAATGGAAAAAA